TGGCACAGACTACCTCAGTATCTCCTGGACTATTGCAAAAACCTCTTTTTGAGCACTTACTGGGAGTCACCAGATTGACCATTCTAAATCAATCCTGCATGTCACTTTCAGTGGCTTTCTACTGCCCATGGTTTATTAAGAGGTAAATTACTAATTCCTCATTATTATGCATCAGGGGAATGAATAGTAAATTACTAATTCCTCATTATTATGGATCAGTGTGAGAGTAAAGGAGAAACACAAGAGGAAGACTGAGTTTTTCCTAAAATATTTGTGTATGAAATGTAATACCTAGAGCAACCACTCAAAAAGCTACATAAAGAGATAATCCGAAACACTCTATAGATAAATCAAATTGGAATTCTAAACAAGAAAAGATAAAATATGTTCGAGGCAGCAATCTCCGGTGTTTACCTATGCCGCCATCTTGGTTTCTCCAATTGCAACAAGTTTTATAATTTTTCATTTGCTTTTGTAAAATTGAGGTATAATTAGCAATACTTACCTTTTTATAAGCCTATTTTGGATTTCTTTATATTTATAAGGGCCTTTATTTTTCCTCCCCTATGAATAAGTGGCCCTAAATAGGAGACCTATTCTCAGTTAATTATAAAAAATAGAATTAAAAACTACAGTATAAGACCGTAGTCTTAGAACAACCTTTCAATCCATAAGTGTAAGTAAATACTAAAAAAGTTTTAAGAATCCAGCATGGCCTGGCCGGTGTGCTCAGTGGTTGAGCATCATCACAGTTCAATTCCCAATCAGGGTCAGGGCACATGCATGGGTTACCGGCTTTATCCCCAGTGTGGGTCATGCTCGGCAGTGGATCACGGATTCTCTCTCATCATTGATGTTTCTATCTCTCTCTCCCTCTCTCTTCCTCTCTGAAATCAATAAAAATATATTTAAAAAACAAGAATCCAGCATGAGCCATAAAAATTAAGTTAATTGAATTCTTTAATTATATTTTTACTAGAGGCCCGATGCACGAAATTTGTGTACTTGGCAGGGGGGGGGGGGGGGGTCCCTCAGACTGGCTTGCACCCTCTCGCAGTCCAGGGCCCCTTGGGGATGTCTGACTGCCGGCTTGTGGCTGGATGTCCTTCTGCTGCTGCACGGCCTGCTGCTTGAGCTTCAGCAGCTGCTGCATTTGCACAAGCTGGGCTATGACAGTCTTTCCTGTGAACACCATCAAGTGGGTGAGTGAAGCACGGAGGCAGGCTCACCCTGAGTTCCCTATGCTTCCCTGAGTCACTGGGCTGTTCAGACTGACGGCCTTCTACAGAGAACGGCACCAGGATCGGGCCTAAGCCAGCAGTTGGGCATCCCTCTCGCATCCCTACCTCAGGGGATGTAGCAGTGCGCCAAGTGGCAGGCAGCCAGGGAGGCGCTCAAATCAGGGCCGGGTGCTGCGCTGCTTGTGCTCATCCCGGCCGGCCGGCTGTGCCTGCTGCTCGGTAGTGCTGCGGCGGAGTCGCGAGAAGCTCCCACACCAGGGGGCAGCTCCTCCATTGAGTATCTGCCCCCTGGTGGTCAGTGTGCATCATAGCAACTGGTCATTCGGTTGTTTCACTGTAACAGTCGCTTAGGCTTTTATAATATAGACTAGAGGCCCAATGCACGGAATTTGTGCAAAGGGCTCGGCCCTCGCAGCCATGGCGGCTTGCCTTGGCCCTCACAGCCTTGACTTCGTCTGAAAGGTCGTTCAGCTGTCCAGTCTAATTAGCATATTATGCTTTTATTATTATAGACTAGAGGCCTGATGCACAATTCGTGCACGGGTAGGGTCCCTAGGCCTGGCTGGCGATCAGGGCCGATCTGTGGGGCAACCAGTGGGGCAATCGGGGCCCCCCCCACCTTGGCCGGTCCTGCCCCCTTATCGCTGCCTCTGGTCGCCTCCCTCCGTGGGGCGACCGATGGTGTGATGGGGGGGGTCCCCCGTTGACACCCACCTTGGCCAGTCTGGTGTCACTTGCTCGCCAGCCCCACCCCCCGCCGCTGCCGCCAGTTGCCTCCCTCTGCGGGGCGACTGGCGGGGCAATCAGGAGGCCCCCGCTGGCACCTGCCTTGGCCAGCCTGGGGCCTGCGGGCTGGGGGCAGCTCCTGCGTTGAGTGCCTGCCCCCTGGTGGTCAGTGCGCATCATAGTGACCGGTTGTCCGCCGTTCAGTCGATTTGCATATCAGGCTTTTATTATATAGAATTATTATTCATATTCATAGACACTCATGTTCCAAAAATAACTTCACCAGTAGAACTAATTACCTATCTTATGTCAGATTAATTCTATGTATGCCACCATGATGCCCAAATCACTCAAAATTAATTCTGATTCTTGTAGCCAGACTCTTGGAAACTATAGCAAAGACTGATGAGTTAGTCATAAAATCTTTTCTCTTTCTTCACCTGGCAAGCTAATAGGCCATGTTTCCCAGCCTCCTTTGAAATTAGACAGAACATGTTAATGAGTTCTGGCCAATGGAATGTAGGTGGAAGGCTTGGCCATAAAATCCTCCCAGGTATGATCCTCCATTCTTGCTCCTCATCTGTTGGCCAGAGGCAGAGGATCCAATGGAGAGGACCATGAGGGGGCCCCAAGCATGGTGAAGCCACTAGATTGAAGGAGCCTGGGTTTCTGAATCACCACTTGGCAAAAATTACCAGCCATGTGACCAGGAGCACCCGCATTGCAGACAGTCAATAAATATGCATTTATTGTGTTAAACCACTAAAATGTGTTTTTTTTAAAAAAAAATAGCAGTTAGCCTACCTTGACAAACATCAAGTACACGTTTCTCATGCTTCCATTTTCTGCTTCTCCACAATTGAATTTACTAGGGAATTAGTTGCGAGATTCTTTCAGTGACCCTGAAAAAAGATATTAAAACTCCCAGGAGAAACTTGCCAACTAAGTCTACGTTCTTTTCACTAGCTGCCCTTCCTTGCTGATACAGTCCACTGAACTTGTGAGGCTGGTTAATATTTTGAAGTCCAACACTGAGAGCTTAAAGAATCATCCCTTGCTGTTTCCACAGGGTCATGTGCAAGAAAACTTGTCACTTATATCCCAGTTGGCTTCTAGGTAAATGGCAAATACACAGGTTTCAATTTTTATTGAGATACCAAACTGCATAACAGAGTTATGATGACACTGTGATCTGACAGAGCAAAGTGGTTATAGATTTTGGAATTATATTACCACAGTATTTATCCCTAATAATTTAATATTCAAAAAAATTAAGTACATTTTGCTGTCTTTTTCTTTTTTTCTATGACTCTATATTGTGAACCTTCTGAGTCTGCACAGGTTCTTAGCCTTTTTTGTGTGCCACAAACCCTTTGTAATTCTGATAAATCTAACAGACTCCTTATTACAATAATCTTTTTAAAATGAATAAAATACATAGGATTAAAAAAAATTAAAATACACTTATAAAAATATTTTAAATATTATAGTAATATGTGTTTCTATTGACACATTAAATAACAAGATCTAACAGTGGGTCTAAAAATGACTGCAATTTTGAAGTAGTGATGAGTAGAAATGACATTTTGAGATAACTAACAATTATTATGAAATGAAAATATCTGGGGTTTCTATCAGTGACAAAAATCACAAGTATTGCTAATACTAATTGGTTTATGGCCTACATTCATAATAAAATGTTAAATTTTATTTAGAAGTTAATGAAACCAAAGATGTAATTCTATCCTTGATCCATGGAGCCCATGTTAAGAACTCCCAGGACTAGAGGTCCCCCCAAAACATCAACAGTGCTTATTCCTGAGTGGTGAAAATATTTTTCTTCTTTTCTGCATTTTTCAAAATCTCCACCATATTCAAACTTTTATAATCATAAAATATATCACACGATATTTTCCAAACCGAGAGGGGTGTATATTGATTGCTTGGTAAGATTCAGGATAGACAATTTGGAAAAACAAAGCAATACTTGAAGAAAATCCGTTGCGGGGGGAGGGGGGAAGGAAACAAAATCTTGGATGGCGATGGAGAAACTTAACCTAACTTTCATCAGAAAGACTCGAAGTTGTGAGACCGTTACACGACATATCTGTATACACAAAGGGATCAATTCTTTAATACACGATGCTGCCTCCGGTCTGAAGCTTCATGACTCCTTAACAGGCCACACTGCCATTCTGGGGCCATATCCTACGGAGAAAGAGGGAACCCACAGGCCCCAGCTACTCATGCGTTTATTAATGTATTATCCATACCTTCTGCATCTTCCGCTTTTGCTCACCTCCCAGCTCGGTCTGCCTACTCCCAGCTGCACGCAGTGGTTTGGGGGAGAGAAGTCCTGGGCAGTGAAATCCCAAATCCTTACCAGGCCCTGCAAGACCCTCCTGGATCTGACCCTTATCTACCCCCCTCAATTCCCAACGGCATTCCCCGGGCGTCAGCCGGCTCGGACCTTTATTCCTCCAATAAGCCCCCCCCCCCCCCGCCCCGTGTCGGCCTCAGGGGCTTTGCTCCAGAGATCCCACCCAGCAGCCTGCTCCGCACCCTTGTGGCTCCAGCGTCGGTCCGCAGAGAGGCTCTCCTGTCCGCACTGTTGAAAGTCATCCCTGCGAGTCTGAAGTTACTTCCATGTTGTTTCTCTCACCAGCAAGGAAGCTTCTTGAAGGCAAGGGGCCTGGACAACATTGCTCACCGCAGGCCCCTCCGCTCCTGAATGAATGAACAGGAATGGATGAATACCTGTGGACTGTCTCCTGGGGGTGTGCTTTGCTTAGAAACAGAAACCAGTTCATCGAGAAAAAGCACGTTAGTAGCGGCTTTCAGCGGTCCTCCGAGTTGCGGGCCCCCTAGGAGGCTTCGGAGTAGACAATCCCAGGATCGCAGCCAAGCGGGAGCGCCGAACTGAACCGCAAGACCGCCGCTCCGGCTCGCCGCGCGGAACTGAGGCTGCGCGGAGCGTGGGGGGCGTGGCCACCCGCTCCCCGGAAGTGGCTCAGAGCCCGCGAGAGGACGCGGGCGGGAGGCTGGGGCTGGCTGGCGGCCGCCGCGCTGGGCCCGCGGGGTGCGTGCCCTCCGGCCATGGAGGACGAGCTGAGCTTCTCGGACATCTACGGCGGCCGCCTGGCCCTGCAGCGCCGCTACTACTCGCCGTCCTGCCGCGAGTTCTGCCTCAGCTGCCCGCGGCTCTCGCTGCGCTCGCTCACCGCTGTCACCTGCTCCGTGTGGCTGGCGGCCTACGGACTCTTCACCCTCTGCGAGGTAAGGGCCGGGCCGCCCCTCCCCGCGATCGGTGCCCGGACGCGATGTTGGAAGGGTCTTTGGGGTCGTGGGGTCGAGCCCGGACCTCTCGGCGGCGGACCCTCCTACAGTCGTAGGGCCGGCGGGTGGGAGCTCGCTGGCGCTGGGGACGCCGTCCGCTGCTGGACAGCTCTTTCCATGACGGCCAGTGCAGGGTGTGCCCTGTCCTTCCTCCCTTGGGTCGCTGCTGTGCTCTGGTTCCAGCCCGTACACACCGGGTCCTTGCACGACAGCCTCAAACGTCAACTTCCATGCGCCTTATGTAGCGCACGCTCCCAGGGATTCAGCTCCGAGGGGCCCGAGAACTGTTCGCGGATCGTCCTCGCCATCCCTTCCCCGCTCGGGAACCACTGCTCCCCGTACCTTCTCTGTAGTCGCGCGGAGGCTGTCGCTGGCTCCTGGTGTGTGGGCTTGTGCAGGGTGTGTATACACACACACAGGTTAAGAGCTTCGCATTGACAGTTCTTCCTAATCTGTTTTCCAAGGCAGTCTAACTCCTCCTCCTCCCAACCGCTCCCCCAACTTCAAGTACTTTCTAAAGAATTATGACATTTCAGAGATGGGTAGGTTTTTTAAGCTCCATTTCCAGACCCATTCCTATTGTCCCAGATGTTTCCACATCCCTAAAATGGAATTGATGTCTGCCACGCCAGCTCCTCAGCATTGTGAGGGTCACGTACAGTGGTTTTGTGACAGCCCTCAAATGAAAGGAATCACCCTCATTGCCTTTTTCAGTTTCATATGGAGTGCCCTGAATTGCATATTTTATTTCAGGAGTGATCTGGTCAGAGTAAGTACAGCAGGACTATTTATTCTTTAATTTGGATATTGCTTCCATTACCGCATCCTTTACTGCACCCATTAGCTGTTTTTGCCATTCAAGCATAGATATATGCATAATTAGGACTGCCTTAATTTGTGTCAAGTTATATCTAAAAGTTCCTTCATAAGTCAGTTAAGTTGCCAGGACAGTCCTGCTCCTCCCCCTTGCCCCCAAAGATTTAATTTATAATATATGGTCATGTGAGGAGGGAACAGATACTTATTAAATGCCCAGTGGAACAACAAATTGAAGTTTCTCTTTCTCTCTCTCTCTTCCTCCCTCCCTCCCTCCTTCTGTATCTCTCTAAAAGTAAATTTAAAAAATTTAAAGGAAGGTTTCAAAGAAAATCAGAACTGGTTAATAGTTAAAGTGGTAAAAACAGATCTTATTCAGTGTTCTTTCTGGGCAAGTTCCTCCTCCAGAGATCCCACCAGCAGTCTGCTCCGCAATAGGATACCATTGCGATAGGAGAAAAAAGACCTCAGTATAGAATTGGGCTCAGTTCTGAATACAGCATAGACAAATGGGAATTTATAGTCGAGGAGCAGGGTGGGGGGTCAGTGGATGGGAAATTACTAAAAGGAAATATCAGGGGCTAAACTGACTTGACAGGATTCGTGCTGAAGACCAGTCAGGTGGGAATTCTCTCTAAACAAGTGGTTCTCAACTTTCCTAATGCCGCGACCCTTTAATACAGTTCCTCATGTTGTGGTGACCCCCAACCATAAAATTATTTTCGTTGCTACTTCATAACTGTAATTTTGCTACTGTTATGAATCGTAATGTAAAGAACTGATATGCAGGATGTATTTTCATTGTTACAAATTGAACATAATTAAAGCATAGTGATTAATCACAAAAACAATATGTAATTATATATGTGTTTTCTGATGGTCTTAGGTGACCCCTGTGAAAGGGTCATTCGACCCCCAAAGGGGTCGCGACCCACAGGTTGAGAACCGCTGCTCTAAACTGACTTAGCAAGATTCTTGCTACAACTGGGCAATGCAGGCCCAACAATGATGGACACCAGGGTCAGGGGCTTAGAAGAGCTTGACTAGAGTTAGGTCAAGGAGTGCACCTTGTCAGTCACAAAGAATAATAAGACACTTCCTGCCCTCAAGGAATGACAGTCATAAATTACTGAATCTCTTTTTATTCCAGGCCAGTGATTTTTTTCCGGTGCCATCCTTCTATATAATAGCTTTATGGAAAAAAGAAAACAGTGCTTCATGAAAGAAACACACATCAATAGAAAAACACATTTCAACATCAGAAATGATAAAAGGTTGTAAATGTGTCTTGGAATCAAAGGAATAAATGCCATCTTGAGCCCTTAACACATCGGGTAGTCATATCAGTTCATCAGTCAGCCTTAACACATCAGTTAGTCACAACCCAAAACAACTAAAAGAGTTCTACATGAGAATCTCTGTTATTTTCTGTTACTTAACAAAACACAATGTCAAGAGGTAGGAGGGCATAAAAGGCTCAGTAGATTGTTTTGTTTTGTTTTCATCTTGGTGTACTCTACTTATCCTCAGCCTAGCTTTCCACATGGTCTGACAGAGTCCATAGTAGTTGCAGATATCAGAACCTCAGGATTACCTGGCCAGTGTGGCTCAGTGGTTGAGCATTGACCTATGAATGGGAGGTCACAGTTGGATTCCCAGTCAGGGCACATGCCTACTTGCAGGCTTGCTCCCCAGTAGGAGTTGTGCAGGAGGCAGCCAATCGATGATTCTCTCTCATCATTGATGCTTCAATCTCTCTCTCGATCTTCCTTCTTCCTCTTTCTGAAATAAAAACATATTTAAAAAAAAAAAACACCCTCAGCATGTAGGGACCTTATCTTCCTTATATCTTTTTAAGATGGACTTGGTTTTCCAGAAACCCCTCCAGGAGATCTCCCCTCACATCTCATTGGTCAGAGTTGTGTCATGTGTCCGTTTCTAAACCAGTCATTGGCAGGAGTGGGAACCAATCATGATTCACTCGAAGTTCTATTAGGAAGGAGTGGTTGGGTTGTATCTCTTATACTGTGTGAAGCATTTTATTATTGCTCAGTCTGATTTTGCACTACATATTATTCTGCGGGAGTGTGAGAGGAAAGGTCTGAGTCCTTACGTTGCAGTTTGGGAAGAAAAATTTCTGATGGATATTTTGCTGATAGAGGTTCTCTTCCAGGATCTATCTGTTTGTTGTCTGTATTTCATCATATGCTTTCATAGTTCTACAGAGCACAAATGAAAGTGATTTCCTCTTCCTCCATGCATGTTCCTCTTACCTGTTCAACTCACAGCAGAACAAAGGCTTTTTCCTACATTGCCTGGAGTTGACTTATTAAACAGTGGCGTATGCAGAAGACCATCTGGTAATCTTACTGCCGGTGTCTGGCTCTCTCTTCAGAACAGCATGATCCTCTCTGCTGCCATCTTCATCACCCTCATAGGCCTGCTTGGTTACCTCCATTTTGTGAAGATTGATCAGGAGACTCTGTTAATCATTGATTCCCTGGGCATCCAGATGACTTCATCCTATGCCTCTGGCAAAGAAAGCACCACCTTCATTGAGATGGGCAAGGTGAAGGACGTTATCATTAATGAGGCTATTTATATGGTAAGTATGTAAGTGGTATCAGTCTCCTCTGGAGGGGTAGCCCATGGAGTGTGCCTGGAGTTGAACTGTTTTAGTACCTGAAGTACTAGATGTCACAAAAAATTGAGGATTCTCTGCTCCAGTACTTGCAGTGTTTCCTTTTGGTTATGTCCAAAGCCATAAAAGTGACGTCTATTGAAAAAGATATGTCCTTTTTTTATTATCTATTTATTTTTAGAGGGGGGAGAGAGAGAGAGATTGTTTTTCCACTTATTTATGCATTTATTGGTAGATTCTTGCATGTGCCCTGACCAGGGATTGAATCACAACCTTGGCATATGGGGATGACGCCCTAACCAATGGAGCTACCCAACCAGGGTGTCCCTTTTTAAAGAGACACAGCAGGTGCTCATGGATAGGGTGTCAGCATTTCAATTTTATTTTTGGCTCAGCTTCAGAATCATCCCTGGTGGTGATTGTTGCATGAGAATATACTTCTCCCTCACTTCAAAAGCTATCAAGTGTTCTACTTAGAGATAACTATTTATGAAAAAGTTTTAGCCATCCCTTGAAGAAAAAGAGACAAAATGAGTTTCACTTAGATCTCTGCTATTTGATGTATTTTCTTACAGCAGAAGGTGATTTACTACCTTTGCATTTTATTGAACGACCCGATGGAACCAAATGGGATATCCCAAGTAGTACCTGTCTTCCCGGTGAGCACAGAACACTTGGCTTAACTTTCTTCTCCAAAGAAATCCTCTACCCCCACCCCCCACCCCTCTGCCTATCCACGGCTACTTCTGTACAGTAGCAATGTAAACTCTTGTTGTCAGGAACATATGTGGATACCTGATGGCTATTTTTAGTGAGAATTAGGATTTTAGTTCTTTCAGGAGCTCCTTTTTAAAAAAATATATATTTTATTGATTTTAGAGAGGAAGGAAAAGGGAGAGAGATAGAAACATCAATGATGAGAGACAATCACTGATTGGCTACCTCCTGCACATTCCCTACTGGGGATCGAGCCCACAACCCAGGCATGTGCCCTTGGCCAGAATCGAACCTTGGACCCTTCAGTCCATAGGCCGGCGCTCTATCCATTGAGCCAAACCAGCTAGGGCTCAGGAGCTCCTTTTGAGGCAAATACAGGCTTTCAGAAATATTACGAATTTACACAAATTTTAGGGAAAAAATAGATAGCAACTTCTGCCTGTAAATCACTATTCATGTCCTTGGGCTCTGTCAGTCTACCAATATGATTTTACGTAGATGTTACTGATCTACACATACTGTTACGGTATACACTGTTTTGTATCTTGCTTTTTAAATTTGACATGCATATTTTCATGCATCTACAAAGGCCACTGTACTTACTAAATAATTATACCATCATGTCAAGTATCAGTTTATTTAGCCACTCTATTGCTAACTTTTGAAATCACATCCTAGGGTATTTTTTGCTTTTCTCATACAAAACCACTCATATAAACATAATTGTAATAAATTCCTTTATAGGTGTATAATTCACATCTGCAGTTTACTGCCTCACTGCCCTGTTTCTCAAAGGATTTAAGGCAGCTAAGCTAAAATTCTTTTGCATCATAGTTCAAAATTATTTTATTAAAGTTTATGAATAGCTTCATGGATTTTTACAGTATTTGAGATTTGGCTCTAGAGATTGGACAACTTTATATACTTTGGGGGGATTTGTGTTTTTCTAGTCTTGGCTAACAGTGGGTATAGCTTCTTTAGTATGTCGGTAAAGGAATTAAAAATTTTAAATTTGTACTTCTTTAAATGACAGAGACTTTTCATATTTCTTTGTATCTACCTATTAGTATTTCTTCTTGTTTTAAACTATCCATACCTCCTCTCTTAGTCAAGTAGAATGTAGATACTGATTATGCATTTGTAACAATTTATGTATTTGGGTAGCAAACTTTTATTGAATATGCCATCCTCATCTTTTTCCCATTCTGTGGCTTTCTTTTAACTCAGTTGTATTACATTTCCTTATACACAGTATTTGTCGATGTTGACATGTGAAGCTGCCTTTCTTGTCTCTGAGGACTGTCCCACAGCTTGTGACACTCCCCAGGAGGGTCTCCTTGTTAACCCTCTTGCTTGCTCTTTGATGGAGATCATGAAACTTATACAGATTATAAACTGTCTTTGAGATCTGGCTTTGCAGAATTCACAGGCTGGGCTAAGGGCCTAGTAAGGGACTCTTCCAGCAAGGTGCTGTGAGGCCTGCACTCTGCCACCTGTGCCTATAGACCCTGGGTGTGGGTGAGAGTGAGGTTGCACAGGGATGCAGCACTCCTAAGCTCTCTTGTTCACCTTGACTGTGCCTTTCTTCCCTTTGGCCTTCAGAGTGCCAAGCCCCGGCTGGACTGCTTGATTGAAGTATACAGGAGCTGCCAGGAGATCCTGGCACCCGGGAAAGCCACATCCACAAGCCCATGAGCCCCAGCATTCAGAAGGCCAGGCTGTCTTCCGATGAGAGGGGAAATGACTCCTAAGCTGGTGTTTTTTGCTGTATTCAAACCATCATGTGGACACGGCCCTAGGAACCAGGATGGATGCAGTGGATCTGAGCCACAGAGCAGGTGACTGGAACTCAGCTCATTGTGTGATGTTGAGCCAAGTGTTCCTGGTATTTCAGTGCTCCCCATGTAAGGTATGTGTACGTTACCAATGAGAGGAGACCGTAAGAAACGGTTTGTCAAAGGTCATGTTGACAAAGAGCACTTTGCGAATTTTCTAAGCACATTCAAGTTGACTTTTTGTTGAATTTTGTGGAGCAAGATAATGGGAAATTGATATCAGATCTCTTGAGAAAGACAATTTCCAGTTATATAAAAGTTAAGAAAATAGTCCAGCCCTTCAGGCACTGGGTTAGTGGGAAGAAATGTCCCACAAGACTAGACTCTCCCCCTAGCTCCTTTGTCTGTATAGGGTTAAATATGATGAATCTCTTAATAAACAGGTCTCCTTCCTAAACATGTACAGTAATTGCCTGGTTCACAGACACCTGATTTTGACTGACAGACATGAATGTGGCATTTCAGTCAGGGTATGAAGCACATTAATACTCTTGTTACTCAAAAACTTCTTTTGCCGAGAGGAATGAGACAAAAGTCCAGACAGAAATTCGACTTTGGTTTCTAGGAACATGTTAAAGAAGGATAAACAAGCAAACTATAGAAGCCTTTGTTGGTAAGACAGTTTCTTCTGTATAAAATTCATAAACTAAGGAAGGATTCCTGAAGGATTGGGAAGGAGATAGGGTGGGGGAAATAGCTTGACCCCCAAATTCAGTATGAACACAGCTCTGTTCTCCTTTACTTTTTCTTTGGGATCCTAATTTTTTTTTTTTTTGGTTTGTTAATCTTCACCTGAGGATATTTTTTCCCATTGGTTTTTAGAGAGTGTGGAAGGGAGAGAGAGAGGGGGAGAGAGAAAATGAGAGAGAACCGTCGATGTGAAAGAGACACACTGATTGGTTGCCTCCTGCACATGCCCTGACTGGGGCCAAGGATTGAACCTGCAACCCAACTATGCGCCCTTGACCGGGAATTGAACCCAAGACCCTTTGGGCTGCCACTCTAACCATTGAGAAACACAAACCAGGGCAGATCCTAATGTTTTTAAAACTCCCAGGTGGGTAATATCCTCATGGGCCTTAGAGACACTCAAGTATCACAAAACCAGAGATGTCATTTCTGCCTTTTACACCAGCCCTGGAGGGGTTCTTCAGAAGTCTGTGGTACGTGTGATGTGTTGATGTGTTCCAGGTAGGAATGTCCCAATTAGAACCCAAATGCTGGGCGAAAGGCAGGAACAGAAATGTTTGACCAAATACAACAGGCTAATTTTTAAGTTGATAATTTTGTATGGGCCGAGAAGGATGTAATAAATATCCAAATGGCTATTGGCAGAAAAAAGGTTCTCCACCCCTGGTGTAAAGGATGAGAGGGGAAGCGTGCAGGAGCTGAAGTGCTCACATAAACTAGTTCCAGCCGAGTGGTTCTGCAGTGTGCAACACACACACACACACACACACACACACACACACACACACACTACATTGTCAGGGTAAAATACCCACACTTTGTCAGGGTAAATGCTAAGACCATACAGTTTTCAGCACTTTATTGACATACGGTAAGACTGTCTTAGAGCTATGAAATAAAACTCCGTTTCCAATGTTGGAAAATCAGAGTACCAGTGAACTCTTTCGTCTTTCTTTGTTAGGGGAGGGTGGAAACAGAGCATCTCCTCTGCACTTAACAGAAGGTCTCAGTGCGATAGGGGGATACTGGCATCGTTAGGAAGGCAAAAGGCGAAAGCAACATTCAGTTTCTGGGACAGACATCACCTGTCCTCTGTCCTCAAACTAATTCCCAGCGGAAGTTCGCCAGAAGTCCCGAGGAGCAGATCCAGGCCCTCGAGCCCCAAGGGGTCTCCTGTTTCTGACTCATTTTGGTGGCTCCCAGAGCAGCAAAAAGCAGAGTGCATTTGCTTGGTCTTTTGAAGAGCAGGGAAACGAGTGATGGCCACCTCGTCCGACAGCAGTGAGCACAGCCTTCACTGAGCCCTGTCCAGTAGTTAAAAGGAGACACGAGGAGGCCAAGTTAGACCTGCCCCTGCCTTAGCTTGTACCCAGTTGGGCTTACAGTCCAGTGTGAGGAAGAGCAGCTTCGATCTCAGCAGGGAGAGCTCCTGTCCTACAAAGAGGAGCTGCCGCCCCGGAGGGCAGGGGCACTGCAGGGCACCTACTCATGGGCAGCAGGGGAGGGAAAGGCCTCCGCTCCTTTCCCTCCAGCCCTGCCACCCCCTTTCCCATCTGCGAAAGGAAGCCTAGTTTTAGTGAGTTCTAGGCTTTTGTCAGAGTTGGGGTGAACGGGAAATTTTGGTCCTCAGGATTTGAGGATGTTGGGAAAACTTCAAGTATAAATCCCCACATAAGGACCGTATACAGTATACAACAGATTCGCCTCCCCGGGGGTGCCAGTGGGGAAAGCTGTGACGTACGGCACTGACGCCCTCAGGAACCAGACCTCCCTGTCTGTCTAGAAGCATGCAGAATCCAGCGCTCATACTTTTGTGGGGGAAAAAAAACAGTGGTTTTTATACTGGGCCTGGCTTTTTAAAAGTTGGGCCCTGAAACATAAGGCACCTAGAGAATAGAGGCTTCGTGGACACTGAAGTACACACTTCACAGAACAAACCAGGGCGGGCTGGGGAGGGTGCTGGACCCATCACAGTAGTGTCATGCCTCAGGATTCGCATCTCCAACCCCAGAGGCACCAGGTGGCGGGGACAGGGGCAGGAGAAATATTCACAGCAACGTTGGCCCCTTGGCAGCCCGTGGAAGAGAAGCAAAGAGCTGTTGTCCAGCCAGTTCCCATGGCTGGTGGGCAGCAGGTGGCTTGGTGGGTGTGTTCACAGTTATGGAGCAATGGCTCATGTAGCTGGCCATGAGGAGAGTAGCCTCTGCAATCTAAGGAGACAACAGAGAAATGAAGGACATGAACTAGCCTTGGCTCGAATACTGGCTTTCTCTCTCACTAGCTGTTATACAGGGCACATAACCTTCTTGGGCTTCAGTTCCTTTCTCTTAAAATACCCACCTGGGAGAAATCGTCTAAAGGGGGTCATTACTGTGCGGTTCAGAGGCCCAATGAAATGGGCGCCTATTGGCCTGGAGGTCCTGTGAGACGCACAGTACCCCCGAGAACAGGCGGCACTTCCTCTCTAGCTAGCTCCAAGCTGGGGCAGGGGGCCTCCCTGGAGCAAAGGGCCCGCATATCTTCTCCTTTGGCAGGGGTGTGTTAAAAGGAGGAGGAGATCTGGCAATCTCCAGCTTTAGGATCAAAGCGACAGGGTTTCCAGGGAACTCTCGGAGTCAGGAACCTATAAATGAGGACTTAGGTTTCTGAGTCTTTGTAATTCTTACATTTGCTAGTCAACATTTCCTGTACTGAGTGGGAATAAAGCCCTTAAGGCAAAAGAGGTCTTTGGGCGGAATTAAGACCTGGAGGACAGGGGAGCATGTGCAGACTGTCCCACTTGAGGACTAGTGTTGGGACAGCAGAGCCCAGGACAAGGTGAGAACATCTTGAAGGGGCAGCTGCCCTGGTCCTGCTGCAAGGAGAACAGCGAGTGAGCACCCAACTCCAGCCTGCATGGCGCGGAGGCTTGAGAGCAGGAAAGATCATGTGAAGGGCACAGAGTAGCTGGGCCTGAGTGAGTGCCCTCCCTAGCCAGCCCTCACTGTCTGCCCAGCAGTGACTGCCGAGCAACTCCACCGGAGCCCTTTGGAGCCATGATCATAGACAAGACCGAGTTTCCTTTGGGGCAGGGCTCTTCAGGAGACGGTCACAACCCTAGCTTCCTTTCTCAGCTCCAAGTCCACCTCTTCCTACATTACAGGTCAGAGTAAAATGTTTCAGGAGCTCTCAGACCCACCTTGGGAGCAGCCATCCGGAAGGTCAGCTTTTCAATGTGGCCTTTTCCAGAGCTCTGGTCTGGAATGGATCTAATCACAAGCATGAAGTCGTCCCGGCAGCCACCAAAGGTCGTCACTGAAGAGTAGGGGTAGGTGACACGCACTTGCTGTGGGAAAGAGCTGGTTAGTCCTGGGGAAACTTTCCCCCTGCCTCCGAGCTAGGAACCAGCATCCCGTCTCTTCTGAGCACAGGGAGCTTAACCAGGAAAGAACTCCGCAGTGGTCATAATCTGGAGATACACATCTCCGATGTCTACATGCTGTGTCTAGACTAGAGAACAGCAGTGCTTGGGCAGGGGGTAGGGAGAGGGGGGCATGGTCACTTCACTCAGGCTTTTGAGTCCAGAGAGAAGAAAAGACTATTCAGGAGAAGGAGGGGATCGGGGAGCCAGCCCTCCTTCCTTACCATCGTGTTGTGGTCCAGGATGCTGACACCATCCTCATTCACAGCAATCCACACCAGAGGGTTCTCCTTGGAAGACAGCGGCACAGGCTGTGGAAACAGGAAAACCCCATCAGACACATCCACAGCGATGGATTCTGAACCATGAGAGCTTTGTTAGGAAGGCACACGCAGGGATCTGCTAGGCAGTGATTTCCAACCTTTTCCTTATCTTGGAAAACAAAAGAAGGCATTTGTGCAGCATGCTGGAGTGCACAGGAGGCATCTGGCTTTGGGGCTCTGGCTACCTACTAACAATCGCAAGCGGGAGGAGATCACAGCCTATCCTGCCACAGCCCATCGACTGGGAAGCTCTGTGCGCAGAATAGAGCATCCCTGGCTGCTCTGTCATGGGTGTGGGGAACAGACTGTTTCCTCCCAGCTCTGACACTGACAGCCCTCCACCCACAGTCTTTCCCAGCTGGAGTGCATCTTGCTTCAATCAATTTCACAGGGACTGTAAAAGAAACAGGAAAGCAAAATGCAGTCTTATGGGCGACAGACCCTACCAGTAAGAAAAGTGGCCATTTAGTGGACAATTCCTGGAACAACTATTTTCGCTGCCAGCGCTGCAGTAGGGCAATCCCCAAAAGGCTGGGGAGGTAGGCATGTCACCTTTTTCAGTAGCTTTCTCCAACTTCCCATACCAAGTGGGACCCCGTGTTATATGCCCTTATAACTAGCTGATCCTATCTTTTTCCCCCCAGGATAGCATTGAGAAAGAAGTCAATAAAGGAAAGATGTGGGACACCCAGAAAGAATCCTGGCCCCAAAGCAATGAATCACAACTGCTCTGGACCATGGAATGGGGAGTAGGTCAGAAATGGGTGGAAAGATAGTGACCCATGGTGGTTGCTAGTTTGCAGGCAGGCACTGCAGACTAGACTCAAACATGATTAGGGACAATAACTCCAAGAGATACTTAGGGCATTCCTGAGGGCGTGGTCACCACTCCTTCCACTAGAAACCACTTGCACTTACCTGAGCAGCAAAGAGCTTAGCACCAAAGAAGGGCCATTTCCGGGCCACGGTCAGGTAGATGCGGATGCACTCGGGAGGGGAGCAGCCTTGCAGTGCTGCCCACTTTGTGGTCAGCTGATCTACTAGGTGCCTGGATTGGACAGATGGAGAGAAATGGTGCTGGTGAAGTGCCAACATGTTCCCATGGCAGCTCTGAGACCTCCCCAAGTCCACAGCCTGCCGCGACCCTTTAATACAGTTCCTCATGTTGTGGTGACCCCCAATTTCATTGTTACAAATTGAACATAATTAAAGCATAGTGATTAATCACAAAAACACTATGTAATTATATATGTGTTTTCCGATGGTCTTAGATATGTGTTTTCCGATGGTCGCGACCCACAGGTTGAGAACCACTGCCGTAAGACCTGGTAGCCTACCTCAGCTGTTCAGTGGGTGTCCCGTATCGGTAGCGCCTGGGGTAGAACCTGTCTAGCACCTGCTGTAGGTGGTGCTGAGCCTTGGAAGGGGGTGTGCCCCCAGGGCTTGGCGAGAGATGCCTCTCCAAGTCCCCAAACTCTACCTGTGATAGAAACACATGGAAGCACAAGTCAAGAATATGGACATGGTGGGGGTGGTATGGGCGTAGTGGTGAGGGTGGGCTGTTGAGAAAGGTGTAATAAACCCTTTTTTTCATAACTTTACTGGGGAGGTGTAAATGGATGTGAAAAAACACTTCTTGTGAACTGGCCTTTTTTATCCAGTTTCACAGACACTAGAGATAAATAAACAACCTTAGGGTCCTGGAATATTAGAGATTATCTAGTCCAACTTTCATTTTCCAGCTGAGGTTAGGTGCCTTAACCAAAGACACAGTTAATTAGGGGCAAACAGGGAAAACAATGTAGAAATTCTGGCTTCCAATCCAAAAATATGGGACATAGGATTGAAGATGCTACAGATCCTAGAGTACAGCAGGTCCTTGAAGAACAGTTTTGTTCAATGTCATTTCATTATAATGTTGATGAGATGTTTTGCTTAAAGCTGTAGAACAAGTTGACGATGCTAAGTGAGGACTGACTTAACTGTATAGCAGAGAGTTCCAAATGTGGCCTTTGGAGTCAGACACCTGGCTCAAATCCCAACTCTGCCACTTACCAGCTTTGTAATGCTGGTCAGGTTACTTAAACTCTCTGAGCTTCAATATCCTCACCTATTATGTGGGGATGAGAACTAAATGAGATAATATATCCTATATAATAAAAGGCTAATATGCAAATCGAATGGCGGAACAACCAGTCGCTATGACATGCACTGACCACCAGGGGGCAGACACTCAACACAGGAGCTGCCCCCTGGTGGTCAGTGCGCTCCCACAGGGGGAGTACCGCTCAGCCAGAAGCCGGGCTCATGGCTGGCGAGTGCAGCAGTGGTGGTGGGAGCCTCTCCTGCCTCCGCGGCAGCACTAAGTATGTCCAACTGCTGGCTTAGGCCCACTCCTTGCCTAAGCCATCAGTCGGACATCCCCCGAAGGCTCCTGGACTGTGAGAGGGTGCAGACCGGGCTGAGGGACCCACCCCAAGTGCACAAATCTCGTGTACCAGGCCTGAGTATAAGTGGGCCTAAACCAGCAGTCAGACATCCCCTGAGCACTCCTGGACTGCAAGAGGGTGCAGGCTGGGCTAAGGGACCCCCCCAAGTGCACGAATCTTGTGCACTGGGCCTCTAGTACAAAATATTTAGCACAGGGTCCTCTATAGAGTATTTAATACGTGTTTATTATATTAAAGATCAGTTACTAGAGAGAGAGGGAGAGGAGGAGAGGGAGGGACAGAGAGAGGGAAAGAGGGAGAGAAAGATAGAGGAAGACAGACATTGATGTGAGAGGGAAACATCCATCGGCTGCCTCCTGCATGTACCTTCCAGGGATGGAGCCTGCAACCCAAGTATGTGGCCTGTCAGGGAATTGAACCAACAACCTTTTGATACATGGGATGATGCCCAACCAACTGAGCCAGACAGGGCAGGGCTAAAGATCAGCTATTATTATTTCCCCTTCTTTTTCAGCAAGTAGATCTATGGGAACCATACAGGTAACCCAGATACCTTTGGCAAGATGGCCTCCTAAAAGTAACAGGGAGAAGAGTCAAAGTCTGAATGTGTTCCTTTTCTAATTCTAGTTAAAATGTTTGACAGCTTTAAGTACAAATGTTATGGCATACATTCTGTGATATGCATTATTTAAGAACATACTTAGTACAACCCTGTGGGGGTAGGTATGGAGGTATTTTTTTCAGTCCACAGAAATGGAAACTAAAGCACAGACAAGTAAAGTAACGTGGCCAACATCTGAGCTTGAAGTGGCCAGGACTCAAACCCAGGCCTCTGGATTCCCGCCCAGAGATCTGCACACAGCCTGTGTGTACAATGAGGAGCTCTGCTGGGTAAGGAGCCAGGGTCAAGGCCACCCTCTCCTCTGGCACCGCCCACCTGCAGAATCTCCTGCTCCAGCCTGTGTGGCACATTCCACCTGCAAGTCCAAAGGTAGTGCCTGACCCTCCTGATTCCCAAACAGACCCGTACCTGGGCCATCAGGGCAGCCATCTCCAGAGCCAGCTCCTTGTTGACAGGAAACCTCCCGGCCACGATCTCGCCACTGGTCTGGAAGGCAAGCAGCAGACGCTCGCGCTCCGTCTCCCCTTTGACTTGACCCCGAAAGTACAGCCTACAGGGAAGAGGGCGGGAAGCCAGGTCAGCTGGGATCCCAAAAGGACGAGGTCATCTTGGCATCTGTTTATCTTGACTTTCAAAGAAAGAAATGACTCTTTTTATACCATTTCTAAGCCTATTTTTTATTGCCTCCAAAATATTTAAGCAAGCATGCCACAGAGCCCATAGTTTTCATGGCAACAGTAGCGTGTGGTTAATTCTGGATACACCATTAGACTTACGGGATTTGGTGAAGGGATCTGGTACCAGGAATCACAACTTATTAGGGAACTGGATGAGTTAAGCCAAGAGACTAATGGAAACTATTTGCCTGGAGACATAGCTGGGATGGAATTTTCTTACTCAAATTGGTAAAAAGTCAGGATGCCTACTTCTGTATTCCCTGGAATTGGTATAGGAGCAATTTGTTTCTAGCCTTAAATTTAGTGCTCATACAAAATCTCCCTCTCCCAAGGTAACACATGCAGCCATCTCATGAGGTTGGTCTGTTTTCTTGGTATGTTTGTGTGTGTGTAAGCATGCATGTGTGTGTACATGCAGTATAGGGACTGAGAGCTGAGCTGCCCAGTCGGCCTGGCTCCCCAGCTAATGAGCACCATGCGGTGCTGTATCTGTGGGCCTCCTGCCTGTGCACCCCAGGCGCAGCCCTCACGCCTGGCCCCACCCTTGGGCGTGCTCAGGACCTGCTCTTGTACATCAGCCTCACGTCACGCGTGCCACCCTTAGACTTCCTGGAGTGCAGCTCCTTCAGGGCTTGTTCCCACTTGGAAATGGCATCGCAGAGCTTGAAGAGGCAAAGACAAAAGTCAGAAAAGGTGAGGGGTATGAGGTCCAGGCAGGGCTGGCCTCGGGCAGAGCAGCAGGGCAGAGTGGAGTGACTGTCCTCCATGGGAGGATGGCCTACGGGGCCAGGACCCCAGGTGCCTGCGCTTCCTCACAGACTTGGCATGAGCAGCAAAGCAAAGCTTCCCTTACTGGCCTTAACATCTGAGCGCCCCCGCACCCTGAGGCAAGGCAGGCCCCAGTCAAAAACCATGGCCTCACATCACCAGCTCCCATTCCATCCCACCCCACTCTCTTCAGCAAATACGCCCAGAGGCCTGCTGTGTAGCAAAGCCTTGGAGATGCCCGACATTTACAGAGAAGGCATGTAGCACAGTGTTCCCGGCAATGGTACAGGACTAGAGGCCTTTGTCCTGCTGCCATAAAGAAAGCAGACGGACCCAAACCCTCACACTCATCAAGTGCTACAGCACATTCCCTCAAACACTTAACACACGCCATGGCTCTAATCTCAGACCACAATACAAGACAGGTCCTCAGTCCCATTCAAGAGCCTTTCATACCCAAGTACCATAAGGACCTACTTCCTAAAACTGTGGCTGAACCTGTAGGCACAGCATAGGCCTGGCAGACACAACATCCAGGGACTCTGGGCATGCAGGTGCCCACCCGTGTCCCTGTGTGCCTGTGTGCGCGCGTGTGCGTGAAACCGGCAGGCTCGGTCAGGCTGCTGCTGAGAAGCTCCTCCGGTCCCTCCCACACCAGCTGAGCAGCAGCTTGCCCTGGATGCTGACAGCCACCCCAGGGAGAGAGGGACACAGAGCTCTTCTCTCCAGAGACAAGAGCACAAACATCTTTTCTCGGCTCACACGGGTCCGTTTTAGGATGGCATAGAAGCGGGGGCACCTTTGGCTCAGCACCAAGCAGGCTGTGACACAGCCAGACACCCAGCAGAGCAGGCTTTTCCCCACCAAAACCCCGAAGCCAGGCGGTGGGACAGTGGGGCTCAGGGCTCAGCGGGGAGGCCGTCACCTTGACTCTCCCCTGCAGGCAGTGTTCCACGGCCCGGCCAGACGGATCGTCTGTGAAGAGGGCAAAGCCGGAGTGGGACGGATTTCTCATGCCTGTCTCCTGGTTCAGCCGCTGGAGGAACTCATCAACTGTGGAGGAGCCGTCGAAGCCCACCACCTGCAGGGGAGAGGACAGCCCCAAGGGGACTTGCTGAGGGACGCCCACTAGGGCTCGCGGAGGGGTCTGCGTCCAGAGGTGGGAAGGCTTGCCTAGAAGGAGCAAGGGCGGGTGCAAGGGCCAAGGAGATGTCCGTTCTGTATTCATACTCGAGGGTGCATGCCTCAGGGATGAGCCCGCCCACTGGAGACGAACCCGAAATAAGCTCTGTGTGCCCTTTACTCTCGCTTTTTGGGAGGCCCTTTCATGCCATCTTCTTGGTCAGTGTCTCAGTTTCTTGTTCACAGATGGATTCAAAGGTGTACTTCCAGGACATCAAATAGTGGAGCGCTTTTGCGATTCAAGCTCCTCTCTCCTGCCACACTGGCACTAACCCCCACTCCCACCCCGAAGTCCCAGGCCCATTCTTTTGCTGGTTTGCTTGCCAAGAATCTGCCAATCCTAGGAGGCTTAGCACCCGCCTGGCCCTAAGGTGCTCCCCTCTGGAAGGGACTCAGGACAGGGCACACGCCCGCCCTCACCTGGTAGGTCCCGTTGGCGAAGTGCACGGGGATGCTGAAGGGCAAGGAGTGGTGGAAGGGGTTCCGCAGCAGGATGGACATCACTTCCGTGCGCGACGGCCTGGCTTCCCGCTCCCCAGTCTGCAGGGTCCGCTCCACTGCCCGCTGGCAGTAGGTGGCATACTGGCCAGTTTCATTTCTAAAAAGACAGGTGAGGAAGAAGGGAATACCACGGAATCCACATCTCCCTGCCACCTTGGTTCCCAGCCCAGACCTGGCCAGGACCACGTCAGCCGCTGAGGCAGGCTGTGAGCCAAGCCCTGAAGACGGGCGTGGGGTATTAATTTGCCATTTAGGGCCTATATGAACATGGCAACAGAGAATGACACTTTGGGAATAATCCGGAGGCAACAGCCCCCACAAAACATCCATGCACACGTGAACTGGTGTGCAGAAGCCCAGGCCTGCCCAGACCTCCACGTGTGTGTTTGTGTTTACAGCCATCGGTGAAGCCCCCATGGCCACCGAGCAAGTCTCAGAGGGTGGGGGGATCTGACCCCGGTTTCCCTGTGACACTGAATCATGCCACAGCGGGAGTGAAGGGGCAGCGGGGAAACGGCGCTCACTCACCTGGGGTCTGCGTGGCGCTGGAGCTGCTGTTTGATGTACCAGAGGAAGTGGTGCTGGGGCAGGAAGAGTGGGGCGCACAGAGCCAGGAGCTGCCAGCACTGCAGGGCACAGGCAGCGCCGAGTGAATGCTGGGCCTGCAGGCCCCGCCTCAGGGCCCTGAGCGACAGAGCCTTCGGCACTCTCTCCAAACCCAAACCGGGGCCCCACCTTCTCTGGGTACCAAAGCCAACCTGGTCAGGCTTTGACCAGAACAGCAGTCGCACAAGCTGACGGCACACAGACCTCATCCAAAGGGGCACAGGGAGGGCAGCTGTGCCGAGGCGGCTCTGAGCATGCCCACTGGCTACCAGGCTCAGGATACCTGCGTAGTCACCTCCTCCCGTTTCCCGCTCCTGGGCAGCCCTGGGCGATGGCTCCTGTCCGCTCGTCACCGGGGAGCCCCTACCTGCGTGAGGGAGTACTTCTGAGGCGGGCGGCAGCTGGTCTGCTTCATGAGTTGGCAGTAGATCTCGCTCTGCAGTTCAGGGTGAACCAGGCAGACCTGCAGGGCCCTCTGGACCAGGGACACGTGGTAGTCTACCGAGGCGGCTTCCACGGGCACGTTGATGAAGAGCTGGCAACACTGGCAGGGACATGACAGAGGGCACTGGCAGGTGTGGAGACAATGGACAGCCTGGGCCGCCCAGGACTCGGCGGGGGTGGGGGGTGGGGGTGGGGCTTGTTCACAGGGAGAATGTTTCTAAGAGGGAGCACTGCCTGGGAGCACTATGCTTGCGGGGAAGGCTACCTCGGGCTAGAATCTTTCCTTCTTTAAATGTTTCTATTACAGCCGAAACCGGTTTGGCTCAGTGGATAGAGCGGCGGCCTGCGGACTGAAAGGTCCCAGGTTCGATTCCGGTCAAGGGCATGTACCTGGGTTGCCGGCACATCCCCAGTAGGAGATGTGCAGGAGGCAGCTGATCGATGTTTCTCTCTCATCGATGCTTCTCTCTCATCGATGTTTCTAGCTCTCTATCTCTCTCCCTTCCTCTCTGTAAAAAATCAATAAAATATATTTAAAAAAAATGTTTCTATTACATAAGCAAGACATATTCCTTTTCTAGAAAGAGAATATTCGAGACAGGCACAAAGAGCATTCTAAAAGAGGCCAGAATCCCTCAGGTTCAGAAACAGCACAGGCCTGCCTTTTCCTGTCCAGCTTCACAGGCTCCCCCAGGCTCGGGAATGAAGGCCCAGAGCTTCTGCCTCCCTGTCCTACAGGACGTGGTGGGGACCCTGTGAGACTCCGCCCCCTCCTCTGAGATCCTTCTGTGGGCCACCCCCTAACTGCCTGTTCTCACCATGGGGGGCAGAACTCGTGGGGCAGAGCCTGGGCACATGGCGAGAGCGCCCCGCCTGTGGGTGGGCCTGGGCTCCGCTCCCACTTTACCTTGAAGAGCTTGAGGGCCTCAGTCTGCAGGGCCTCGGAGGGCAGGGTGGTGAGGGACGTGTACAGCCCGTCTTTGCTGTAGCACAGCATGGGGTGCCTCCAGAGGGGCGAGTCTGCCAAGGCACAGCAGCGGAGAGCAGCAGCCGTTACTCCTGGGCGGGAACTCTCCTCCCAACCCACCCCTCTGATCTGCGGGGAAGACGAGGGTCTAACTGTCTGGGGCCCACGGTGGTGCTGGGCTTACATCTAGAGTGTGGGGCTCACAAGCACAGCTCACAGGAAGGCGGCTACTGCTCTGCTCGTGGGGCTGCCCCAGGGCGAGTGTGCGAGGCGTGGGCATCTGAGTGCAAGCCTGTGTGTGCAGGGGAGGCCCGGCCCGCAGGGTCAGGCCTGGACGGAGGGGTGTGTATCAGCCTGGAATAAACGAGCTGTGGCACTGAGGGGAGGGGGGTGTGGTGTGTGCTGTCAGTCCTCCGGCTCCTCAGAATCAGTAGCAAAATAAAGACCCAGGGACCCAGGCTTAGGTGAGGCTTTGCTAATTACAACTCTCACTATAGATTCGCCAGCCACCTCCTTCATCAGTCCTCTCCCCAACAAAGCTGCAGGGGAACAAAGTAAAACATTGGCCCAGGCCACTGGGCAGTCTGAGGGGTCACCTCAGTGCCTTCATCGGAGACAGGGGCCCTGGAGCTTGGGGTGGGGATGCCCTTCTGCGGCTCCGGCGGTTTTAAAACAGCATCAGGGTCCAGTAGTGCTTTCTTTGGGTTCCTGACCAACAATTCCCCAGCCACCGCCCTGCAGCCCAGGCGGGACGGCCCTGCTTGCCTTACCTGGGTCTCCCTCAGCATCCATCAGCTTGCCAATGAGCTGCTCATAGGCGGTCCCCACCTTGGCGCTGCTGCCCCCTGTGGCCACAGTGAGATGATACAGCCACGTGTCCTGGAAGAGGACAGAAGGCCGTCTGCTGGGGCTGGGTGGGGAAATGGGGCAAGAGCTCCCAGGGGCTTCCTTGAAGGGGTCACGCCCAGGTGGGGCTCAGCTGGCTTGGTGAGCAGAAGTCCGGGCCACCTGTGTCTGAGAGGAAAGACCTGGGATCGAGTGAACACGAACCCAGGTTTCTAAGGTTGTGGTTCTACCTCAGGGAAGACGGGGGGGGGGGGGGCATAGGTCCAAGCGTGGCCTCGGGGCCCAGCCCGCCCTTGCCTTCTCATGCTTGGTGCCAATGAGGAGGTAGGTGGGGCTGTGCTCCGGAGGTTGGATCACCAGGGTGCAGTGGGAGGAGAGCAGCCGCCCGGTTCCTCCGGCCTCGTAGTCCTCATCTGAGTCGCAGGATCGGTCGACTTCCTCTACGTGTGCGTCCTGCACAGGCAGGTGGCCCAGGGGTCGCTGCAGACATGAGGCTTCCGTGAATGGGAGAGCGAGAGCGGGGGGGGGGGGGGGACACACACACGTACAGACGACAACAGGGGATTCCTCTCTTGGAACCCTCGGGCCTGCAGGGCGGGAATTGTGCGTGAAGACAGATACAGGAGGAAGGGGGACAAGAGCTCACTGGCTGCCTGCTGGGGGAAATGTGGCCTGACCCCACCGTGCCAGGTCCATGCTCTGCAGAGGGAGCCCGCCAGCTGGCTTTGCACTGGCTGTGGTGTTATGGGGTAGAAGGGAAAGTGGAGCCCCAGGAATAGGGTCTGGGGGGAGAGAGAGCGGTGCTGTCGGAGGCCGGGAGTACCTTGTCCTCGTGGCTCCGATAGTAGTAGAAGGTTCTCCCGACGAGAGCGCACCAGACCAGCTTGGAGTGGCCATGCTTTACCTGTGAGGCAGAAACGAGCCGGCATCACCAGAAGCAGGGGGCCCCGAAGTAAATCCGGGCCTGGCCAAGGGAAGCCACAGGGAGGCAGACGTCAAAGCCCCTGGTCAAGCTCAGGTCCTCAGTGGAGACCCCCAGACTCCCCGAGGGAACCAGCCCTTTCACAGCGCAGGCCGCAGTGGGCCCCAGGGCATGCCCCGTCCAGGCCAATGGGGGTCCTGTCCCAGGAATGTGACAGGGAAGAACCTGTGTTAGCAGAGGCTAGAGTGGTAGGAAAGCTGAGAGGAAGGGAAGGGCAGGGAGGCCAGTGTAAATGGTGTGGTGACCGCAGGCGCACACAGAGGGGACTGAATGGGACACAGAGGCAGAGAGAGCTGCGAGCACCCACTGAGCGCGCTCCGACAAGCTGCCCTGCCTCCTGGCGGCTTTGGGTCCAGTTCCCATGCTTCCTTGTTAATGTCCCCTCTTACTTGGGGTTAACATGTGCTTCTCCGCTCTTTGCAGCCAGAAGAGCCCTCACTAAAACGTCTTCAGGGCAGGCCTGGGATAGTATACGTTTTTAAGTGGCCACACCTACCTCGCGTAGGTCCCAGCTTCCCACTATTCATACTGGTGGGTTCAGGTTGGGGTGGGGGACCCCTAATGACCTCAAAATGGGCACATTCCTCAGTCTTGAGAAGAGCTGTTGTTCTAACAGCCGACCGTGTTTCCAGGGAACCATTCCCCATCCCTGTGTGGTCAGACCGTGTTTGAGGCCAACCAGCTAATCCCTGTGAGGAAATCCTTGGAGGAGCTGTGGATCAGGAGGGGGCCCAGCGCCCCTTGGCACTCCCGCTCCTGAATCCCGACTCTCAGAAGGCCCACCTTCCTCCCCCGCCAGCCGCAGCCATACCTTGGTCAGCCAGCCCTTCACGGTGGGCTTGGTGCCCCCCTGAGGCAGGGCTGGTGGCCCAAGGGCCTGGACCTTCAGCAGCCTCTGCAGCACTCGGATCCACTCCTCCAGCAGGCAGGGCGAGTCGGCCGTCAGGTAATAGGTTTTCTTCTCAGAGATGAGCTGTGCAGGAGGGGGCCGGGGCGGGGCCGGGAGACAGGAGGTAGAATAACAGAACTGGCTCTGGGTGGCACAAACTCCAGCGCCCACTGGCCTCCTGCTCCCCACCCTGGTACTCGCCCCTCCTTCTCCTCCTCGTCTTGCTCTCCCTGTCTCTCCTTCCTTCACTCTCACATTCTGTGTCCTCTTCCTTCCTCGGACTCACCGATTAGGGTCACACCCAAGTGTCTTTCACTCACGCCCGTGTGGCCCCACCTCTGTCACCATCACAGCCACATCCAAACCAGCACCTCTCTGCCTACGATTCTAGCTGTTAGGACCCTGCTCACCTGGAAGGTCTGTGCACCCTCCTCTCGAACAATCTGGCAACGGGAGTTCAGTTCCACTTGGCCTTGAGGTTTCCGGATGATATCACTCTGTAAAGAAAGGCATGATCTCACTCTAGGGCGGTGGTTCTCAACCTTCTGGCCCTTTAAATACAGTTCCTCATGTTGTGACCCAACCATAAAATTATTTTCGTTGCTACTTCGTAACTGTAATGTTGCTACTGTTATGGGTCGTAATGTAAATATCTGATATGCAGGATGGTCTTAGGCGACCCACAGGTTGAGAACCGCTGCTCTAGGTCATGGCTAAGGAGAAAGTGATTCCACGCTTTCCCGGGCTATGCATGGCGGGTAACGTGTTGTGCGCCCTGGTTCTAGCCAAATGGAGCAATGGTCAGACATGGGTCCCTCGGACCCAGCTCAAAAAGTGTAGATTGAGCCTTTACTTCTTTCCTTTTTAAAAAAAATTTTAAAAATACTTTAAATTACAGTTTATAGTAGGTCCTCGGGTTATGCTGGAGATCCGTTCCTACGGTGCGACTTAACGATTTAGCCGTAAGTCAGAACCCACCTACATAAGCACCTACGTCACTCACATGGAGCACATACACAGCAGTAATGAAGTGAAACAGTTAAAAAAATTTAAAAGATAACAATTCCTGACCTTTACTTGTGGTAAATAAATAATAAAAAACGTAAAGCACCTATGTACATACGTCGAAATGACCGAACTTTTTTTTTATAAATAAATGGGAGATGGTGACGTAACCACGAAACGATGTACGTCAAGTCCGACGTAACCGAGGCCTGTCTGTGCAGTCAATATTATTCTGTATTAGTTTCAGGTGTACAGCACAGTTAGGCAATCACAGACCTCACAAGGTGTCCTGCTGACATTTCCAGTCCCACCTGGCACCACACACCGCTATTACAATATCACTATTCTCCCTAGGCCAGTGGTCGGCAAACTGCGGCTCGGCAAACCATGGCTCGAGAGCCACATGCGGCTCTCTGGCCCCTTGAGTGTGGCTCTTCCACAAAATACCGACTTCTATGCATGGGCCACGAAGTTTCAATCGCACTGTATGTGCGCGCCCACACGTGGTATTTTGTGGAAGAGCCGCACTCAAGGGGCCAGAGAGCCGCATGTGGCTCGCGAGCCGCGGTTTGCCGACCACGGCCCTAGGCTGTACTTTACATCCCTGTGACTGTTTTGTAACGACTAATCTGTACTTCTCAATCCCTTCACCTTTCTTGCCCAGCCCCCTAACTCCCTCCACTCAGGCAACCATCAGTCTGTGCTCTGGATCTTTAACTCTGTTTCTGCTTTGTTTGTTCATTTATATTGTACTTTAGATTCCAAATTTAAGTGAAAACATGTGGTATTTGCCTTTTTCTGACAGACTTAGCATAATACCCTCTAGGTCTACCTATGCTGCCACAAATGGTAAGATTTTGTTCTTTTTAGACCGAGCCTTGAAAATTAGGTCCAAAGCCGCCAATTTATTACTAAGCTATAAAGCCCTTAAATTTTTTCTACTACATCCTTTATATCTAGTGTGGCAAATAAGTGGCTCATATGTCACCATTCCCATTTCCAGTGCCACTGCAGACATTACTAATCGATCAAAGCATGCCTGCCTATTGAGCAATCCAGGCCCAGAATCCTTAACAAGGTGTTTGAGACAGCCACGGCCAATCAACGAGATCTGCACAAGAGACAAGGCCTTTGTGCCCTCCCTGAAACATTAACATTGGTTATTAATCAGGGAGGGCCTGTCAAAATAAGTCCCCATGTCCAAGGCTCCCTAATTCCGAACCGTGTTACGAAGGACGGGGAGGAGGCAATGGGCTCTCCTTTATCAAAAATATGTTTTTATTTTTTTTAGAGAGAGAGGAAGGGAGAGGGAGAGATAGAAACATCAATGATGAGAATCATTGATCGCTGCCTCCTACACACCCCCTACTGGGGATCAAGCCCACAACCGGGCACGTGCCCTCACCGGGAATGGAACCGTGACCTCCTGATTCATGGGTCAATGCTCAACCACTGAGCCACACTGGCCAGGCTGGGCTCGCCTTTTAGAACAGTTCTTTTACAGAACCAGGTAAAAGAAATCGGCTTCTGAAGGAAGGCATGTCCAAGCCACCTCATCTAGCATTGCCTTTGTCTTCTCAGTGCTTGATTTCACTGGGAGAACCAATGACCAGCCTCATGGTCTGTGTGTGGCTCAAAGCCTCTCCCACCTGCCAGACCTCTGCCCTCTGGCATGGGCCACCTGCCCCTCTTCCAGCTCTCCTCACACAGTCCTGGGGCTGGGTGGGGTCCCTCAGACGACAGTCCCGGGGAGGAGGGTCTCACCGGGGACTTGTAGTACAGGATCTGTCCCTGTCTCAGGACAAACCAGCGCCTCTTCCACGTCTTCACCCGGCTGCCCATTTTCAGCAGGTAGCCTGACTTCTCCAGCGACTCCTGCCGGGTGGAAGGGTGCAGAGGGGGAGGGCGAAGAGGGGGACTCACTGAGGTGTGGACGTCACACAGGCCCACGTGGCCCAGTTGAGTCACTGCTCTGTCACCAGTTAGAAAAACAAGACTGAGTGCCTACTGTGCGTATTTTCGGGGCACTGTGTCCCGCTAAGGGTTCAGAGAGGACTACATCAAACATGGGTGGGCCTGCTGGGGGAGAGTCCTGCTGGCCGGGGGGCACACCTGACCACGAGCAGGCGGCAGGTCAGGGGCTGCACAAGGGAGAGGCTGGCCGGGGGAGGGGCCTTCAGGAAAGGGCTGAACTGGCTTTGAGGTCAGCCTTTCCCTCACAGATGAGCCAGGAGGAGGAGGACGGCCACTGAGGCAGCAGGGAAGCGAGAGGTTTAGGGGACAGTGGGCACATCCAGCAGGCTGGGGCGGAGGGTTCGGGGAGGGGGAGATTCAGACAGGGCAGCTCGGTGGTGTGGAGCAAGGGCTGGGGACGGGATCTGGCTTTACTGCTGGCTCCGGAGTAGCATGGCTCTGAGCCTCAGGCTTCTCATCCACAAAATGGGGTAACAATCCTGAGAGGATGTGAGGACCACTGAGACAGTACATGTACAGCACGGAGCACGGTGCCTGGCACACGGTAAGGACTCAGGAAATGTTAGCTCCCAGCATCCCAGCGTCAGCGTGGAGCTAAAACGTAGGGGCTATGTGTAACCCCTGGGGCTCGGTGGGCCACAGTGTGCTGAG